TCCGCGGGAACCACATGCAGAAGTTTTATTTAGGAGAAGATGGCGCGGGATAGTACTAAAGACTGAGAAGTAGCCGAGGAAAGCATATACACATGCACGGCAGCTCTTATCTCATTCTCTTAGAGCAGAATGGACTATGAGCGCAACATCTTCTAGTGTACTACGTCTAGCCTTATACGCAAATTGCAGGGAATCAGAAAAAGTAGAGGAAAATGGCGTAATTATGTCCAAGGCATCTCGTTCTGCAAGTTTCAGTAGTGCAAAAGTGCAGGCAATTGAACGAAATGATTTCAGATAGGTAGTAGAGGGCTTGTTCGGGATGCGAGTGATCTTCACTGAACTCTAATCATCGGAAGCCTTAGACTTCATGAAGGATAAGTTCATGAGGTGTGTCAAGGCAAGGGTTAACTGAAAAAGCAAGATTTTACGAGAAACGGTGAGACACCTTCTGGCCCGGCAGATGTTGAACCTCGAACCTTTTTAAGGTGTTGCATCGCTGTTGCCATAGACACAGGAGCAAAGCAACTTGGTAATAGGGAAATACAGTTTGACGGAAGATAGGAGTCGGCAATAGTGGGACTGAAGTTTGCATATCAATAGTCCAAGTGTTTGTGTATTGCATTGAGCGGTGAGACGCTTACGAATTTTTTAACTTTCATCCAAGTATATGGGGGACGAAAATGTATAAATGGTAACAAGCTGACTAACAAGAAGGTCGTTAAGCCTGGAAATTACTCGTTATATTAGGACGTTTACGTACGTTATTCTTTAGCGCATGCCTAGGTTGCAGAACAGTTCCTTTTCGCGTTCCGATATTTGTAGATTGGGAGAAGAAGAAGGCAGCAAATATATTTTTGAATGTGTAAAAAATTGTAACAACTAGAACAGGACGCTCTAGTGTTCAGGACAGGAAAAATTTCCGATATGCAAGCCTGAAGCAAATAAATATTATATGAGGACGCTTCACGCACCTTAGCTTTCCCCTTGGGTTTTGCCAACAAAACTTTCTTAGAACCAGCATAGATTGCTAGCGGGCCCAATAACACAGCGTGATCTGAACCTGAAAATGGAACTCTATCTTTGACAGCCACCTGCTTGGGATAATTGGTTAATATGTAATCAAGAGGGCGTCAGCATGATTGTTGAAGGAAGATAAACCGTCAAACCCTAGCAAGGTTAAGGAGTGTAGGTCCACGATAACGAAGTCGCCACATAAAACAATAAAATGCTCGTAATACAGTATGGAAAGTTTAAGTGAAAGCAAATAAAAAAAAGACTAAAACACCTTGGCATGTCGAGGTGACGAATGCAAATGCTGACATAAATAATGTATTTGGAATTGTTTAATAATCGGAGCTTGCAGACTATAGCGATAGTGTCCATTAAGTCATCCGAGTAAGAAAATAAGGAGTTCAATTTGTGCACTATTTCTGGTTTACAAAAGCAGCCACTCGGCTACCTCTGCTGATGGATAAGGATTTTCGCAAACAAGAAAAAGACGGCGGTGTAAATAGTTGCGACTAGATATCTCTATTAAGCAAAGTCTCTTGATAACAGATAACTGCAAACTTACATACCTACTGTGTTCTTATTGAAAAGAGAGTGACAATTTGTCGACATAAACGCTGTCACTGGTCGGGATTTGATTGCCTTTTGCCAGTTACAACAGTATTTTCTTTGTCTTATGATCTTTTTATGGACAGAACGTGAGAGAGTTAACGTTGATGAGATGCAAGTGCGACAACTAGTATGAAAAATGCAACAGCTGACATCATGGGCTCCCGTCGATAAAATTTTCAGATTTCGTTCACTCAAAAAGGTAAAAGTGTAAAGCATAAATGACCTCATGATCAAAAGTTGAGACAAAAAGGCAGAGAAGTAGAAAGGATGATGTACAACAATAAATTACCACGTGAATGGAGAGCAAGAAAAGTGGCTGCTCAAATTTTAAAGCCCGCCAACGTGCCTTCGTGGAGCAGCATTTTCTCCTGCATCTTCTTTTAAGCGAGTGACATTCCTTCAAACTCTGCTACATTCATTGCACGAGTTTCTTTCCACTGCTTAGTTTT